GGACACTCACAGGAAGGTAAAGCCTCCTACAGACCATGTAACACACAAGTTTAATGATCCTTCCTGGGGTTTGTGTGCAGGTGGATACAGACAAGCTCTGGCACAACATTTTCCTTTGGCTCTGCTATTCTGAACTGTTCAACAGGAGCTGTGTTCAAGGCTGCCAGTATAGTACTGGAGCAGTAAACACCATTCCCTAATCTGGATTAAAAGCAAAATTAGAAGTGCTCATCTAATCCTGCATAGTCAGAGGCCAACCACAGGCATTTATTATTGAATAATTCACAGCGCTCCTTAGTGACAAACACTGAAGCCCACCTAATTATGCATTGTGATAGGTTTATGACAGAGTTTTTGGGTGCATCCTTTAGAAATCCCACGTTCACAGCTCCTGTGCTTCCATTTGGGTGACAAGAGGATTGGCCAGATGCTAAGTATTAAACAATGTAAGATGGAAACCAAGACATTTCCAATTTTGTCTTTCTTAAACCTCTGTTTCAAACAGTATGGTTGCCTAATTTTCCTATCTAAATGCAATCTTCAGCACATTAGAGCCATGGAAAATGCCATAATCACATGGCATTTGAGTGACTAAATGGAAGTTTCTGAAAGAATATTAATTTGCCTATTTTTTTTGCATTAGATGTAAATATTGTCTGACACTATAGAGCAACACTGCAACCCTCACCTCGCATCTCGGCACAGCTAGAAAAGAATGGTAGATTATAGAGCACTACATACAGTATAGAAGGATCATTTATTCAGGAGACACCTTCTTCATTCCAGGAAGGTATAGATCAGTACCATCTCATGTGCTACCAGTTTAAAAAAAAACACATTAATTTGTTTTTAAAAGTGTGATTTTATCTTTATTTGGCATCTGCATAAATTCCACCACTCTTAATGTGCATTACTTGTTTGATAAGAACTAGTACCAGTCATTCTGATCTCAATCTGACTTATCTGTTCAGAAACACTGTGACAACAGCATAAATGGAAGGAGTCCATGGGATACACTAAGACAATATCTCAAAGACCTGCGCTTAACTGTGTGGATTGCTTTCTGTTCAAAATTAAAGTAAAGTGCAATTTGAATTAGAAACCACACCACATTGAAGCAGAAAATCTGAAGAAAAATATTAAATATTAGTTCTAATAGCACTGCAGTTTATTACATGATTGAATTTGGAAAAAAAAAACCATTAATCGGACCCCAGGTCACTTTATCCAGGTTGGAGCATTTTGCACCAATAATTTTTAATAAAAAAAGTTTCCTCTTAAGACTTGTGACAAGGCAAAAGTCAGCCTAAAGTGAAAAAATGACCTTGACCAGAACAAATTACTCTGGGCTCAATTTAGGTGCTATTATCATCTGTAACACCCCATTTGACACATAATGAATAAGACATTTAGGAAAAATAGAGCCCCAAATTCACTTTTGCCAAACAAGGTGTAAGTAAAGGGTTTTATTCTACCTTCAACCCAACGCTTTTCTGTGTAAGGATGGGGACCCTACAAAGTGAGCATTGCTGTAAAAACTTTAGGAATTAGTCTTCTAACTTTTGTTTTACGCAATGGTTTCAACTTCACGTTTCAAACAATAAAAACATTACATTTGTTTTGTTTTTTTTAGATACAAACTGATACAAAACACACACAAAAAAAGAAGATTAGCCTGGGGAGCTGTAGGTCCAAATTCATAAAGTTGGCCAGGACACTACTTTTAAAAGTTAATTTTCCTGCCAATTGTTTTTCTTCCAAGAACTAATTATGAGCGTTTTTGTACTTTAAAAGCATTGTACATATATTGTTAATATAATTCCCTTGGGGATACAGTAACACAAAATGCACTGTGAAAGCACAATCCCGTAATATAGGCCGGGTCGAAACCAGTACAACGCTTAACAATACTATTTCAGAGCTGCGTAAATTCAATTATTTGAACAAAAAGAGATACGTTATCAATTTTACTTCCTAGATATATTTTACAGTCAGGTAAGATCGGTTTACAAAACCCCGAGCAATGCACCGTACATTCAGTTAGCTTAATACAAGGAAATATCACCCGCGCCTTATTTTCAAATTCAGGGCACAAAAGGTCTGTGACTTTGCGTATTGTTCATGTCTTGCATTAACACAGCTTAATCCCTTACGATATAACATGTCTTTAACACCATTCTCTGTAAACATTTCAGTGTGTGAATGCACGTTTCGTGTACTGTTACATGGAAACCACACAAACTCAATGCTTTTACGTATTAAGAGATTCCCTGTGCTAGCATTTGAGGGAAAAAAACTATCCTAACACTATCCAAGCACTTGTGTCCTTAAAAAACGCAGTTATATAATAAAACCCAAAGCAGCTGGGTCATGTCTTATCACAGTAGAAAAGAAACCAAAAATGTGGACAGACTAGGATGAATCAAAATTGCGTGATTTTAATTCACGTTTTCGCATTTCTACGCAATTCAACACGCTATACTCCGCGCTACATGTTTAATAAACGCGTCGCTTATTCTCAGTGCGTTCAACCTTACATTAACATTAAGAAGAATTGAGGGTGAAACATTTCAATAATCTTGTTTCAGCTATGGTTTGCGCCCACCGAAAAAAAGTTAACAAATTTTAGTTACACGGTAGCAACTCGCTGAAAACAAATGCCGTCACTTTCTTGAACACAAACAATGAAATAATAAATACAGTAGCGAGCGTCATCTCAAACTACTTGGCCCGTATCGTATCTCAAAGGCCACCGAAGGAGTAAACAGCACTTACCCTTCTTTGAGGAACTGTCCAGTCCAGTAGGCGGCTTCTAAAAACAAAACATTTAAAAGAAGAAATAAATATTTCTGTTAAAAAAATTAAACTATCGATCTCTGGCTTTTAAAGTCGCCTCTCTATCCCATCACTTGTCACTTATTTTAGCACAGCCGGAGTCAGAAGGATCACTTGCTCATGATTATACAATGTAACAAGTCCAGACAGTCATGGCTCAAACACAGAATCGGCAGTACTGCCTGGCCTCAAGCACAAGACATTTAATTTGATTGACAGGTCGTGCAGTGACTCGGGGGTTGAGTCACCAGAGCACATCCCGCCTACTCGTGAGAAGATGGCAAATTGCGTCGTGAGGTAGTGGAGTCGAGCTCAAAAGGCAAGCCTATCCTAGCTCTGACAGACAGAGACGGCCCTTTCTCTCCATTTCTCCTTTTAAACGCCGATGAAATATGCTCCCTGCAGCACTGTACCGTACTGTATGTACTGTACCTGCGATATCGGTTTCTGCGCTCGCTGCTCGGGTAGAGGGTGGTGTGTGCCAGGCATGCAGTCAGAAATATGATTAAACCTTGCAAGGAGGAGGCAGATAAAGCTACAGTCACGCAATTGTCTGTGGGTGGATGAAGTAGTGGTAGACAGGCTGACTAAACCGCCGGTGCTCAGGCTGCAGCGCTGTGTTTAAGAATGCACGGCCAGATAATACGCGCGGGCACAAATGTGTCAGTAATTAATTTTCATGCATTATCTCGCTTACTTGTTCAAGGGATACGCGTATTGAAAGGACTGTGATTTCGATCATTAGATATAATATTGAAGTCTTTTGCGATCGTAAGATTCCCATTTACAAAACTGACATACCGCATAGCGGTAGCCGCCAGTAGTTGCAATCAAATGAAGTGGCCCGGGCAAGTTGTACGCTTGGGCTGAGCTATCTCCAAATGACTGAGTGTCTCTATACAGTCTAATCGCTGCGCTGAACCATTTCCTAGTTTGGCTGTGACAGAAATTACAGAAAAATAAAAATGACCAAAAATGACGCTGTTGTAATGGCGGTATAACAACGGCCTCCTCTTGTGGGCTGTTCTTCAGAGCTTCTTCCTCAGTCGTCCAGGTTGTCTGGTTCTCGGTTGGGTCTGACAGATTAGAAAAGAGGGTCAGTATTATACTGACACACAGCTGTAACGTTGACCCATCTACAATGCGACCCAATGCGACAATGACCATTTAAAACAAACCATATGCCCTCCATCCAGCGAAAAACAAACTTGTTTCCTAAGCTATTTCAGTAGTAATAAGCATAAGTTTCTCTGTATGCAGTATATGTTGTAGACATGGGCGTATTTTCTTTGGTGTTACTGGGCCGTAGAAACCATTACTCACCACAAACAGGCATTTTAAGGCCCTTAGGAAACACTGTAGGAATGTTGTGAATGTCAGGGAAAACACGCAAAAGGCAAATGAAGTGTCTAGAAAATTAGAAACCTGTAGCCTGGCAGTGTTAAGGTATTCATTCTAAGCAAAACATCGCTATTGTTAAGAAATTTCATTAAGTGACAAAAAGTGAGTTAAAGCTGATAAGCAATGTGTACAGTTTACAAATACGTTGTTTTAAATATAAATGTACACGTATTTAAGTGACTATTCCTATTGTATAAATTACACGTTTAACCGAACAACGTGTGTGTGGAAGGGGGGAGTGGGGGGGATCTATTGTACAAGTTTATTCATTTTAGTTTTCAGAATACAACAAAACAAAAACATAAAAAGGCTAAAGGGACACAGAACTCAATGATGCCAGATAAGTAAGCAGTTCACAAAGAAGAAAGGCTATGATTAGCAAATATCACACAGACATACAATGCTGCATATGGTTATGGAGAGAAACCCATTCTATGCGACTGGCTAAAAGCTCAGAGCTCATGTATTCGGTGGGATACAGTCGAATTTGAGCACTATGGAGACAGTCTGCCAAACTCTCCTACACCTTTGTATAATGCTTCCAGTACATATGTACGACGCTTTCTAACGACTGACACACAGCACCAGCGCGTAACAGAGTCTTTTCTGTTACAAGTTAAAAGCTATGTAGCAAAACAGGAAATGCACGGCTGTAGTTCCTCCGGTGAAAATACACGTATTTCACAGTTTAAAAAAACGGGGGGTGGGGGTGTGTTATGTAACACCCATATGAGTCTGAAGGAGAGACTGAAATGCTTTCTGTTTCTCATTACTGGAAAACAATATGAATTGCGTACACATTTAGATGTGTTAGAATACATTTCAAGAACCGAATGGCTGAACAGCACAGGAATTCTCCCGTGCTGGAGTTTCTCTCAGGGCGTGACAGAGATGACGGTATTTACTATGAGGGCGTGGAAAGGAGATGGAATTGAATAGAATTCCTGACAGCCGAATTAAAGGTAATATCCCGCATACACGCTGCGCGTCAGCTCCAACATATTTCTCAATGAAAGAAAATATGACTCAGTACTGTACTGCCCGTATACTGGGTAGATTACTAAAAAATCTTGATTGTGTGTCGCTGTGCCAGTGATCTTTTTCAAAACAGGATCCGTTATCTCCGTTTGTTCTGTCGAGGTTTACCCGAGATGATGTGTTACCCGAGGTGGTTAGTTCATACGCAGCTCTTGCGTCTCAGACATCGGTCTGGAGTTTGCATGTTATCCCCAGATTGACGCGTGTTTTCGCCAGGTGCTCTGCTTTCCTTCCTTCGTAACGACCGGGGGTGAACTGGTGTCTCTAATGCGCGCCTCTGTGAGTACCCCGAAATGCACGGGCATCCTGTCCTGGATGTATCCCGCTCCCTACTCGCTTTGCTTCCTAATTGTCTGCTGCCCTCACCAGGAATAAGCTACCAGGGGATTGATTGGATGTGTTGACCAGGGAACGGGTTTTCTGCATCCAGTTTTCTGCACTAGTCTACATTAAATGCCATCGGCCAGGAGTTTGCCCAGTTTTGAATTTTACCTAAATCTTACTTGAATTTAATATGTAATTTCTACCGTGTTTGCTTATCCCTCATTTTGGTGTAATTTGCTAACGCGACTACTTTACAGACTGTTAGTATGTAAATATAACTGTTAGTAATTTGTTAATTAAACACGATGCTATATTTCCTCATGGTACTTCCGAAAAATCCGTCTTTCGGTTGAGACGTTTAACCGAGGTCCTGACTCTCAGTGGTCATTAAAGATCCCTGGGCATTTCTCGATAAGTGTAGGGAGTTATCCCGGTGTCCGGGCCAAATTCCCCCCCTCGGCCTTTACCGTGGCCTCCAAATTGTCCCCATGTATGATGGGTTTGCACTTGCCCTGCGATAGACTGGCGTCCTATCCAGGGTGTACCCTGCCTTGCGCTCGTTGCTTGCCGGGTAGGCTCCGGCTTCACCGCGACACCGTGTGGTGCAAAGGGGTTTGGCAAATGACATGACTTCCAAAAACTTGTAAAACCACTAATGTGAAGTTTTTTAAGCTTAAAACATTACATACACTCAGAGACAATGGGATACACAACTGAAAACTAGACAAAAATAAATATTGAAAGATTAAAATATTTTTCGGTATGTACGTTATGAAAATAATAGCTGATTAGTATACTCACATTTTGGACTTTGGACTTTGAAAGTGTAAAATTGAGACGACTGGGTTTTCTGCATAAATAAATCCATTATTTTCTGCTAATGAATGGTGTGAATAAAATATATACACAAGACATGCAGGCGAAAGAAATAGTCGTATTGAAGAGAGAAAGACTAGTGGCTCGTTTTTTTCAAGAGTTTATTCTTATGGAAATAGGGCCCTCGTGTGGAAAAAAATAAGGAGTTTCGCACAAAGACCAACTGTAAAAAAAGGGATGCTCATTGCTCAAGCACTAATCCTGATCTCTAGAGAACGTGTTCTCCAAATGCTTTATTCCCATAAATGTAAACACCCAGATGTGTTTGACATCACGAGTAACAGCTGACTTATTGATCAATCCGAAGAGACCGAAATAAAAATGTTTATTTTATTCGTTATGAAAGCGAAAAGCGGCTTGGAGGGACTAACGGGTGTTGTAATTCTGCTAAAAAAAACGTTTTTGCAGGATTTCATACAGTTCAAATTTCAAATTTGACGTGCTGTATTTAAACTGAAGGTCAGTTTAAAAAAATGAAATCCAGGAAGTTGCAAACACTCGGGCCTTGTATATGGATGTGAGAAAAGCTTTTATAAATCGTTTAATAATGAGCAGCCTTTAGTGCAGCATTGAGATCACTGAATGTCGCCTGCGCCGGAATGGGGAAAAAGCTTTTTTTTAACATTTCATGATAGAATTAAAGTTTCGTTCTACAAGGGACCTGTTGTACATACTTGAAATTGCACGACTTTCATTCGCAGCATTGACAGATACTAGTTTTGTATCGGTTCTTCGTGATTAGATAAGAATTTGACCGGACAGCCCGTTGATATTGTGTGCGGTTTTGTTAACTCTCAACATCATAACAATGAAGTCTGAAAAGGGACACACAGGTCGAAACAACGTGTATCTTAGACTGTGTGTCTTCTATCTAAATGTTCCAGCTGTTCTTTACCAGCGTGAAAAGAAAGAGGGACGACGCCATCTACGGGTGATATTCTTGATGTCACTACGGTATTTGCAAAACCAGCGGAGGTGTCAAAGGACGCAGTAAAACCCCATTTCACAGCAGGCTGTTTTATGTTCAGAATTGCAAAACGGGTTATTAAAAAGCCTGCCAAATCAGTTGTCTGGGACAACTGACCAACGTTGTTCGAGAAGCTGCTTAATAAATTATTGTTATGTATTACAGATCATGAAGACAAATTAAAGATGCACTTCATAAAACGCCTGTCGCCAAGCTTGTTTCAGTATGAAGTCCAGCGGGATTTTGCGGTGGGTGAAGAGCCAAGTCAGCTCTTGGCCTGTTTTTTCCTGCCAGCTGCCGCGTAATATCATTTAAGGAGCGTTGCAGACTGACGGGTCTCAAAGCCCAATAGCACAGGACTCCTGAAAATATTTCTTTCCCGCTGCAAGAGGAGCGCCCCCAGACATTTTTAATCTCGATTTGCTGTCGTTCTAATTCTCCAAAAAGACCTTCCGTAGAGGATCAATGAAAGTTTATTTTATAATCCCCCATCGTATCCCCCCTACCGATTCCCCTAACGCGCCGAGCGCTGAGCACCAAGGAATATCGCATTACTTCTTCTCGGCTTTTTCTACTTTATTGCTGCTCTGAACAAATCTGGAAAGAAGCAATTTCCAGCCCTGTTGCATCATCATTTTTTTTTTGTCTAAGTGTTGCTGTACCCGCGCGTATTCTCCACCCCTTTTCCAGGAGCCCCCTCACTCCATTGGCAGAGCAGCGAACACGTTTCGCTCCGGAGAACATCAGTCGCCACAAGTTACCGCAAGAGCGAGTCCGCGTGCCGTGGACTTGCGGTCTCTGGATCATTTGCACCGTTATTCATAGCATCCGCGCGTCTCTCCAGACTGAGGGTCGTGTTTCCTGCAAAATGGAGAAAAAAAGCGAGAGTAACGGGCATGCTGTCTCTGAACGTCCGATAAGGATAGACGAAGCCGACGGGAAAAGTGGGCGAAAAAAGACTACAAATAAGTTCATGCTGTTTTTTAAAAGAAACCTCTTAGTTATACTGACGGTCTCCGGCGTTTTGGTCGGTGTTGGCCTTGGTATGGCCGTCAGGAATTTGAATCTCACCCGGGCACAAATGACATACTTCGCGTTTCCCGGAGAAATGCTGTTAAGGATGCTGAAAATGATCATTCTTCCCCTGGTGGTGTGCAGCTTGATTTCGGGTGCGGCAAGTCTGGATACTCGGTCTCTGGGGAAACTGGGCGGAATCGCTGTATCTTACTTCTTGGTGACCACCCTAATCGCTTCAGCTATTGGAGTAGCTCTTGCATTTATTATTAAGCCAGGAGTGGGTGCGGGGGCTTTGAATACTAACGACCTGGGGTTAGGACCCGTCACCGCCAGCAAAGAGACCACAGACTCCTTCTTAGACCTTGCAAGGTAATATCTGGTCTACCTTTCAGTATGATGTTTGAATGCGTTTAACTATGTACACAGAAAACTACAGCAAGCTTCAAAATGGTTGGACTTTTAATACAATCACCCTAAATGAAAACCACAAAATAACACAAGTATTCTATAGATATGTGTTAGTTCTCTTATTTTTGTTCATAACGTTGCTAAGATCTTTAGTGAGAATGGCTTTACTGGTTTTTAGAGCACTTTTTATCATTAATTAGATTACAGAGACCGTAATTAAAATCAGTCCTCGCAAAAAATCAGTCCTCGCTTATAAGACAAGCAGCACTCGCTGGCCAGTACTTACGATGACCTAGTTACATCCGAAAAAAAAAACAAATGCCCCTTTCAAATAACACTTTTAACTAAATCTTTTTATATAGGGCAATACTGTGACAAATCCTTCTGCACACTTCCCCTTATCCAGTCACAGTTTTATTTTCATTTTTGCCACATTTAACATCTCATTTGATACGTTTTATAAATGTTTGGTCTTAGCTCTTTATCAACATGCAAAACACAGTTCATATGTTTATAAACTCTTCTTTGCGTATAATGTTGTTATGCTTTCTCTTATCCAGTATAACTGTATCTGGATAACAACAATCTAAGGGGAATTGATTGTTTTTTAGGATGACAACTAGCCTAGAAAGATATTTCCAGAATAAAGAAAGTTTTCAATTACAAAATATGTGTACAAGTGCAATCAGAACTGATTTTTCAACATGAATCTGCTGAAGGGTTCCAGAAGAAATTATTTACAATTGCTTTGGTTGCCTATCAAATTACCTACAGCCATTTCAAAATTAACAAGAAAGGACTTTGTTACAGAACTTGGTTGGTATCATTGCTCTAAGAAGTTATGGAAGGTTTACCTAGAGTCTCTTTGCTTATTGGAAGAAAGCACATTTATATTATGGACATTTAAAGAAACAGTTCTTGCTGTTTTCAGCCATATATAATTTGATTAACTCACTTCTCTGTCCTCTGTTACTTATTTCCTTTAAACCAATACTGTCTGGGATTTATACACTCTGGATTTAAGAAAGTAATTAAAAAATGTATTACAATTTAAATCCCCATAAAAAATAAATCAATAACAATATTATAGGAATGGTTAAGACCTAATAGGACACACCTGGAAATGAATGTGTTTTTAGAAAGCAGGCTGAGCTTTTAAGGCTATCAGCAGGTCATCTTGAGAGATGTGAGTTGTTTACAATGTCCTGTTCAAGGCTAGTGGTTGGGAGAATCTGCAGGTGCTTGTCTTTTCTGGTGACTCACAGTGGAAGAAAACTTTCCAAAATACCCAATATTCTTCCAAGCACTGTTTTGCATAATAGCATCATAGATTTCCCTGAATTCAATGCAATTTGCAATTCATGGCAGTCCAAGTTTGTCACAGACTCGAGAAACCATAAATGCCTGATAAATACTGTCATACAGTGGCCACTAATACAGCATTCATTAAAATAGAAGATTAAAGCTTCATTGTCAGACTAAGACTGCCGGGTGTCAGGCTTCTTCTGTGGATTTGAAAGGATCTCTCACCCTCTTAGGTAGCAGAGTTCTGTGATTTGCTGTCAGTTCAGTGGACGTGGTGTGGTAGCAAGCTGAATGCTCACTCACACCAGGTCTTGAAGTGGTCACTATGTGAACAGGGGAAAGTGTTTTAATTCATCAGCCTCAGGATCCACTTGAAGCCTGTTTGCAAAACGGCTTTGTATTTAAAATCCTAGATGGTCAGACATGGGAAGATAAGTGATTTAGATAGATAGATAAGACTTTATTGATCCTAAAAGGAAATTGATGGATAAGGAGACGGGCACCACCCAACGTGGGGCTCAAACCCACGACCCTGAGATTAAGAGTCTCGTGCTCTACTGACTGAGTTAGTCAGGTGCTAATTTCCACGCACTAGTTCTCCCCTTTCTTGCTCAGGAGTGTCTTTAAGTCCAACTTGTACCATTATGAAAGTGGTAGGTCAGGTCTTTATTCTGTAATTTTGTATAGTAGAAGATTGTATTCTGTACATATTAATTATAAACATTAAACACTCTCTTCCACATGCTGTCTGATTGAGTGTTTGGTCTTGTTTTCACCCTGCTCTTGTTTTCCTCTTTATTAAGGAACCTGTTTCCCTCTAACCTTGTTGCTGCGGCCTTTCGCTCGGTAAGACCCCCTTTGCACTTTGCCTTAAATGATTTATCTTGTGCCACGAGGAGGTCTTCCTAAAGCGCAGTGTCAATGCCATGTTTGTTCGTGTCATTTCTCTTTACCTTGTCATTTCGGATTGACAACTTGGATTGTCACATAAAGGAAGCCCCATTATCAAAAGGCCATTTTTCAGACAGCCAGACACATCTCCTTCCTTCCTCAGTTACAGAAGCAGGAGGGTTTCTATGGCAAGCTCATTGCAGGCTGGCCATCTCCTCGGCCTGTGAACACATTGACTGCTAACTGCTTTTACTTTGACTTTTACGAGAGTTAAGGTGCCGTGCTTTAAAAAGGAACAGCTCATTTGTCAGACCATTTGGCAGAACTGGTCTGTCATGGTCTGGTCACCTAATGCCAGAATTCGAGTGGACCTTCCTTTAACTGATACACACACGCAGGACTTTCCCTTTATCCCATCATCTGAATCAGTTCCCCCAAAAAGTCATAAATAAAAACTCGGATGAATGCGGATCCAGCAGCCGCAACCATTCACAAGGCATCTCTCAATGTGGAGAACAACACAGCCTTGCATTTTAAGAGCTGGTTCCCTGGATAGAGTCCAGTACTTTGTGGAAAGAAAAGGCCCTCATGTTTTGCTGGCACGGGCACCCGGTCTGTCCTCGGGATGTTTAAAAAATTCAGGAGTACTGTGCTTTCTTTGCAAAGGTCTGATGCTGCACAGACTGCTCTGGCAGTTTCTGGAATGCCCATACAACTCTGGAAGAGTGCAGATTCCATCTCTCAGTGGATAGCAACCAGCTATCCAACTCTCTCCAGCTCCCAGACCCCCTTTCTTCATTACCAGTCCAGAGGGATTTAATCCCTCATTCACCCTGCTACAAAGGGTACAATGTGTTTCCCTTCTGAAACAAGAAGGGCTATGATGAATGCTCTGCAGTAGTCAGGCTTGGCAGCTTCTAACTTTGAGGGGAAAAAAACCCACTTGACAGTATCGGCCTGGGTTACAAAACAGGCGTTTTCCCCTTTTAATTGGTCTAGTTCAACTTTTTTTGACAAATTAATATTAGACCTCGTTAACTGGGTACCACTATTTGTGACATTACAGAATTAATTCAAACATAGAAAGTCCAATGAGCCACTGAATTAAAGCATGAATCAGAACAGTGCGTATATATGTCTAAGTCCATTCCAGCCCTCTTGTATGAATCAGCTCGAGACTTTTCAGGTTTAGATAGTCTTCTGTCTTTAAAGAAACATATACTTTTTTTTCGAATTTAGGTCTCTGATTGTTCCTTTTTTGGGAGTAACATACAGAGTTTACACTGATGTACATATAAACCACATTTGATATTTTTAATAGACAAAAGAGGAGCTCACGACTTTGCAACTTGCCACATTCAGGTGTTCTGTTAAATGACATGGAATATGGCCAGGAGTTAAAGCACACTCAGGATGAGGAACAGGTTAGGGGAGATCAAACCTGATTAGGTTTATACTCTCAGAGAGTGAAAGCAAAAATGATCTTTCTACATTGCCTGGGTGCTGACTCCTGTTGTATCAACTTAAAAGAGAGTTCTAATGTGGCTGTGTTACACTGCAGGGGCAAAAGAGAAAGTATGTTTAGACTGTAGCACAATCAGAAGAATGCAAAGAATGCAAAGGCACTAAATAAGCTGAAACTGGCATTCAGGACAGAAAACAGTTGACAGTACTAGAAGAAAAAGTGTTTGGACCTGTTTGACCTCAGAATCGTAAACCTTTAGAAGATAAGAGAGTGCGGTAAAATTGGTTCCCCATTATTGGCATTAGTTACTTATTTAAATTAAATGCAAGAAAATAAAGCTAGCAACTACAGTGTGGCACACCTGAGAACATAGAAAGAAAACTGAAATAATGTCTGTAAGGTGAATTAAAGCCTTATGTGTTACTCTTCTGTCTTTACAGTATGCAACTGATTATAAGATCATCTCAACTGGAAACACAACTCATGGAAATGTCACCTACCAGAGGGTATGTAGCTACAAGAATATTTCAGCATGCACTACTTTTTCTCTACTCTTTCCTTGGTCTTGCAGGAATGTTGTGTCTCTAGGAGACTTGCTTCGTACGCGATTTTGAAGAATCGTAGCAGTCTGGGTACAGGGTGATTTGTTGATATCACCATGTTGATGGTTCGTCTGGTTTCCTGTGACGGGCTGGGGAAGAGAACAAAGACTCACACTGATCTCTTTAATCTGTGTGGCAGAAAGATGGCAAAACAGCATGTTCTCAAATACGCCGGAAACAGTTCTGTCTGGAATACAGAGGCTGATGTCAGATGAGTTCTTTGCAGCAAAGTAAACACACTGAGCTCCAGCTTCTTGAGCCACTAGGTGCACTGTGTAAATGCGAGGCAGCAAAGGGATGGAAAAGGGAGAGTCAAACAGGAATGGTAAACCTGTAACATCCAGCTGTCTTTAGAAAGTTTTTGTAGATGTTATCTCTGTAAGGTGACAAAAAGACTCTGTTCACCAAGGCACTACGAGATAGAACCATATATTAAAATTGCACCCTAAAACAGAAACACATAACACGCAAAGTAAGCATTACATCTTTTCTTAGGCAGATATTGGTAGTGCAGGAAATTCACAGTACTGGTCAACTATTCACGTTTGAATCATGATCAAAACTCAAATGGATGGTTTATCTATTCACAATAAATAGTAAACATGAATACTTAGAAGAGCACAAGAGCAGTGCTGCTGTGAACATGGGGCAGGTAGAAAAGGGGGGATGTGATATGCCATGGGTGCTATGGAGCTCCTGCCTTCAGTAGTCTTGCTTGTTTAAGTCTCCAGCCTTCCATGTGAGGTGCAGGAGAGCAAGAACAATGCTGTTATGGTGTTTGCTGTGCAATCTGGCCAGAAGAGTGACTGGTAGAGAAAAGAGGAATACTTGTGGATAGTCAGAAAGGGCTTGGGAAAAGCTAAATTCCCTCAGATGAAAGACTGGTAAGTGGTTTGGCCTCCCTATCTTTTGGATAGGCCTGTGATCCAAGAGTGTACTCACGTCTCCAAAAAAGGGGCCTTTTGTTTTCCTTTGTCCGTTTCATTTCATTCTAAGATGAAGTTGAAAGAGCCCTACTAGCATGAAGTTGTACAGTACTGTTAAAAAAAAAAACCTTTGAAAGGTGCTTTCTTACTGTTTCTCTGTGGGAATAATTTAGCAGTGGAAGGCTCCATTTAAAAATGGTAAGATCCAGACTTGGCATAGTGTCCCTGAGAATGTGGAGTCATATGATGATCTCCCTGTGTCTAGGTCATATGTGTGTTATTGCACCATTTCCCTCCTTCTACACTGCAACTTGGAGAACAAAAAGTGATAGCCATCTTACAGTTTCATTGGTGGGTATTGTTGTAACAGATGAGACTCGAAAGAGAAAAAAATTGGCACTATGTACCAGTCTGTGTAACGTCCACTGTATACTATAATAGAGGATGTGAGAAAAAGCAAGTTCACCGGGTCACATGCAAGAAATTATCTATGAAATATCAATCTTGCTAAAGAAATAGATGTCAATCGCTATTGTTCCGTTGCTGTGTTCAAGCAACTGTGACAATTGCTGAAAGAGTGTTCAAAGTTGCAGTGAGTGATATGGCCATACAAAACTGTCAAGTTTCAGGGGTGGATTAAAACTACATTTGTTTTGTCTGGAAGCAGCCAGGCAGTTAGTCAGTTTAAATAGCACTGTGTTTGCACAGACAATCAACTGTACTTGCAATAGGGGTTTCTGTTATAGCAGTAGTGGCTGTGCTGGATATTGTATTGCTACAGATTGATGAGTATAAATGGCTGTATTTCCTCCACATGTGAATATGTAAACCTACATACAAAGCTGCTTTTAATGATTGTGAAGAGGACTAACAGTTCACCTTAGATGCTTAACAGGTGCAATGTCCGCTCTTGAATTTGTAATGTGAATGGCCAGTGGATTACAAAACCCATAGAATAAGCAGTGCAAGACCAGTTCAGGTAACCAAATTAGAAGAAATAAAAAAAGAGAGAGCACTCCATGTTGGGAACGACTGACTTTTTTCCAGACGGATCCCTTATCTTAGATGTATAGCTGCACATACTGTAAGACAGGGTGTCCTTAAATCTTTCTACTAACTGAGCCTGTTTTAAATGAAATGCAGTTATTTGTTCCTTTTCTTAAGTATACAACATATGCTGCCTGGACATATTAAAGGCTGATCTGTACGACCCCCCAGGGCTGTTGGGGTGTTGGTTGTCCTGTAGGGAACCTAGCCTGTCTACTGCAGATGAAGTGTCCCCCCCATTTTCATATTCTAGGGGTGCTATAAGAGACAAGTGCTGTGCTGTGCCCAACTCCCCCAGAAGCTGCTCCATACCCCACCAACACGACTGAAAGAGAAAATGAGAGAGGGAGCCACCCACTGCGAAGTGATAAATTCACCACAGGAAAGCACAAATGAGCAAAGGAGACTCCCTTCATTTGGACAATGAAAAGAATAGAGCAAAAGTGCCCTTTGCCCCCCCACCCCCCCCTTGCCATACACACACAGAAATTCTGTGATATTTAGAATTGGTATGCTCCCTGCCCCCATAAAAAGCCCCAGCCTGGCCACTGCCCTGCTGGAGATTCCTCTGATATCTTTTAATATTCCTTTCTCTCTGGTGCTCCAGCTGTAGACTGGTGTGAGTGTTGCCTTGAATCTAGGACTTTTCTTCCAGTACCAGCTGTCACTGATCTGTTCACATGTAGATCCCCGTTGGCACAGACACAGATGGCATGAACATCCTAGGCCTGGTCCTCTTTGCGATGGTGTTTGGAGTGGCCTTGCGGAAACTTGGCCCTGAGGGAGAGGAATTGATCCGATTTTTCAACTCCTTCAATGAAGCAACGATGGTCCTTGTCTCTTGGATTATGTGGTAAGTGGCTGAGAGCTGATGGTCCGTGTTTTTCACAGCTAGTAGAGCTCATGTTCAGAACTTGAGGTGCTTAAAATATGAATGGCAAATAATCTGAAAAAATGCCTATGTAAATGTTAATAATGTTTATAATGTGTACTGAAGCATTTGGAATTTGGACTGAAAAAATCATATTATATCTTAATTTAAATATACAATCACACTAGAGCATGCAGTACATGTCTGAATGTCTGTTGTAATGTATATGACAGTTCTACTGTACTTTACACCCTTTAAAGCTTTTGAATATGTCTGTGCTTGTCAGTGCTAATACGTCTATAAGCAGGTCCTTATATGTCATTTTAAGCATTAAACTCTGTGTAACAAAAAAACAAAGTATATCCAATGATACATAAAATGTAGTGGAAACGAGGTTCTACTTGATTCACGCAAATCAGCACAAGACCCGTAATCATCACACAACCTGTAACAAATTACACAGTGAAGGGAGTTCCCATGTGGTTCCCAGTCTTTATTTAATTGTCTCATCTTTATCCTTCCCCTGAAAAGAAGGGTAAGGTGGCTTGTGAAGCTGTACTTTCTTTTGACCAGGTATGTGCCCATCGGTATAATGTTCCTGGTTGGCAGTAAGATCGTGGAGATGGATGATGTTGTCCTGCTGGTCACAAGTCTGGGGAAGTACATATTTGCATCTATTCTGGGACACGCTATCCATGGAGGGATAGTGCTGCCTCTTATCTACTTCGGACTCACTCGCAAAAACCCCTTCAGCTTCCTTTCTGGGCTCATCACGCCTTTTACAACTGCTTTTGCTACCTGCTCCAGGTAAGCACGGACAGCGGGAGAAAGCACTGCTGGTTTCCATCCACACTATCATAAAGGTCTTGAATGATTCACATTGACTTTTTTAAGCATGTGTTCAAAGTCTCCATGCAACACCAAATTTCGACCACACTTTTCCACTCGATGTATTTTTGTGTGTCTTATTCTGAAGTAACTTGGCCAATTAACCTGCATACTGTCACGCCCTCTGCAGCCAGAAGGCGCTCCTTCTCTGTCCTGTCCTTAGTTTCCGGTCTGCTGTCCTTCCTGTCCCTCTCTTTCCCTTGGGCTATATATTTCCGGGTCTTGCACTCTGTCCTCGCTCAGCATTGATGTTTGGATGTCCTGAGACCCGCCTAGCACCAGGGCGCCCCACGTCCGCTCCCTGAGGGCATAGGTTTCTTTACGGCATTCCTGAACTCTTTGCACTAATGAGCCCGGGCCTTTTTCCCGTCTCGCTGCTACGCATATGGGTCTTTTTCCGCTCTGCTGCTCCCCACGGTTAGTCCCTTTGGACGTCCGTGACACATACATTACCAAAAGCACACCACGTCAGTCAGGCCACAGTTTGTAATGTACAGTATGGTACCAAAAGGTTAGTTTTAGACTTATAATAGGGCTAATCGTCCCATTACAAGCTTCTGGGCTTGATTTTCAATCAAATCAATACACACAAGCGTGTATGGATTCTAGTGAGGATCTACAGAAAAATGAATGAGTTTTCCTGCAGTGGACTTTGTGTGCAGACTTTTCCGATGAATTCTCCCACCATCCACTGCTATTAAAAGAGTTGTTCCGTCCACAGGGAAAGAAAGGAAATTTATTCTCTTCTGTGTAGTCTTTTGTAGGCTTGCAGTGGCTCTTAGCAGGAAGGAGTAAGAGTAAGTACATTGTCAAGAGGCACGTGGAGAATAAGGTCTCTCAGGAGTGGCCCACTGTTTCTCTCTCGGCAGCTCAGCCACTCTTCCTTCCATGATCAAATGCATTGAGGAGAATAATGGAGTGGACAAGAGAATCAGTCGCTTCATCCTGCCCATTGGCGCTACAGTCAATATGGATGGAGCTGCCCTCTTCCAGTGCATAGCCGCAGTCTTCATCGCCCAGCTGAACAACGTTGAGCTCAACGCTGGGCAGATCTTCACCATCCTGTATGTTGGGATACATTTCTGATAACACTATGAAAATACAAAGTCATATCTAAAGATTGCTTAAATTATCTTTTGAAATGAGTTCAGAAAATGCCTTCAACAGAATTAAAACAGCAGCTGTCTGTTTCATCATGATTTTATTTGAAAGATATAAATTATTATTGTTCATGCCACCATGACATTCCTCAACAGTGTGAAGTCTTTTACCAAGAGAAGACCAAATTAGAGTGTTTTGCAAACACCAGTAACAGTGGTTTGCCATTAAATGTAAAAGAGTCAAACAGTTTTTCAGTTTTAAAGCAGATGTCAAGTAGTTGTTAAGAGCTGTCTCTTAGCAGGTCTAACTGCATATTTACACCCATCAAGCCCGTAGATATATGACATATCTTGGCTCAATATGTCATTATACACGAAATAAGCAATATTGCTTATATTTAATTGTAAACAAGTATGCTTAAATAACTTTAATATTTAAAAGCAAAAAGTAGCAATAAGTGGTATTTTTTTATGAATGGAAAATGTTTACCTCATGAAACTCTCAGCTTGTGTTCAGTCAAACTATCAGTTCTGATTAAGTTTTCTTCTCTCTTGGGACACCACGCTGTGGGGCATGTGATCCTCTAACCAGTTGCTGCAGTTCAGCCACCTCTGGGGCAGAGTGTGAGAGCCAAACTGACCCAGCAAATCACAGTGCCGCAGCAGAGTTAGCATATGAGGGGCAGCAATGTGTTTCTCATGTTCCTCACCTTCCTCTTCTAGTGTGACTGCAACGGCGTCCAGTGTAGGAGCTGCTGGAATCCCAGCGGGGGGGATTATCACCATTGCCATTATTCTGGAGGCCATCGGGTTGCCTACCAATGACCTCTCTCTCATGCTTGCTGTTGATTGGATAGTGTAAGTACCCTGGGCATCCCACCCACCGACTCCCCACACAAGTGGAGTGTTACAGGACAGGATGTGTTTCCCAACAAGTATGAACAGACCAGGTATGCTATTCCCACTGCAGTGATCAAGTGACAGGGAGAGCTTTGAGCTGCTGCAGTCTGTCATAATGGCCCAGTCCTTGGATAAGGTCTCTAGCTGGGTTTGCTTAGTTTAAAATCTATTTCCCTGTATCTGAAAAATCTCAGTCCCTTTCTTTTTGCTGCCTAAATCCAGGATATTGCACTGTCTAGTTGACAGGGATAGAGAATGTTTTTTTCTTTTCCCCCCTGAAATGCATACTTTTTTGTACCAAAGCCTATAGCCGCTACCCAGAGAAGATCATTGAGCCGTATGCTAAAACTGAACATAATGTTCAACTGTGTGTCCGGCTGTGTTGTACTGTTGTGTAAAGCACCGTATGGATAGGCCCCATCTAGGTAAAAAAGGGTCAGATCTGCCGAGCTACAAGACTACTTTCACTGCCATTATGAATAGTTATAATAGCAGTGAAAACACTTTGAAGAGTCTAAGCAATTCATTCCTTATTTTTACCAGGTAAGTTAAAAAAATGTAAGACCAGAACACTCGAGAGGTAGAGTAACTTGTTTTTAGTCTCTTTTAATATGCCTTTCGACTAAATGACTATGTGTTTGGTAATTATGTGATGATAGGGCGGTATTTATCACTTACAGCAGGTGATACATTTATTTTCCCACGGCAACGTGCTTGCGCGTTGGGCGCTTGTGCCGCAGAAACAGCCTCTCTTACGCCTGCGCTTGCTATCCTAGGGACCGGACCACCACTGTGGTGAACGTGGAAGGGGACGCCTTGGGCGCGGGGATTCTTCACTTTATCAACGAGAGGGAGAGCAGGAAAGACGTGCCGGAGCTGGGAGAGGTGCGAGTGGAGGCTGTCCCCAACAGCAGGTCGGAAGAGGAGACGTCCCCCCTGGTCTCGCACCACAGCGTGCCGATCCCTGCGGCCGGCGGCGCAAAGCCGGGCTCGACGGAGTCAGCACTGTGAACTGGGAAGACCTCCCGACTTTGTCAAAAGAAAAAAGAAACAAAAGGCGTTAGTTATAACTGGTCGATGTCGTCTTTCTGAGATGCCAGCACCCCTGCTAAAAGCTTACTTGAATGATTTTTTTCCCGGCACCTTTTACAGAGAAAGTGCCACGCCTAGGAGGTAGGCTCAGCCATACTTTATGATGATACTAGGAACATAAGAACCACTAATGACATAATTTCTCATTACAGACCTTGCTGCTGTGTTTGCATTACGACTGTGTGCTGTATTTTTCGACAATTTGATTTAACCGTTGTTCATTCCTAACTTTGGAAAAGTCTCTCCCTAGATACCTGAATTCGGTGGTCTAACCTTAAAAAGCAACACACGTAGCACGATTTACATTCAGATATACTTTAACTGAGTGCCTTTGCGTGTAGAGTTTAAGTAAAACTGTTCATTTTCTCAACATTTCCGTGGATATAAAATCGACATCATGTTCATACTCCCACCTTTTTCTGTCAGAGTATCCCTTTCTCATTCAGATAAGCTTACTGCATGTCAAAAGCTGAAAAAGCATCTAATGCTTCTTTCTTATGCCATTTCTTCAATGATTAAAGGAATCTAATACGTTTCTCAATATTCCAGACTCTAGATTAATATTCTAAAAATAATTCCAGTAAATAAAAATGGAGTTAATAATACAGTAAAAGATCCCTAGGACTCATAATTCTGGAGATGAGCGTTTTCACATCAGTCCACCGTTCTTATCTCCGAATGAAGCAGTGCTGCCCCCTTTGGGAGAAATGGTTTAATTGCGGCTCACATGAGGCGTTATTGTTGGGTAACCAGAAATGTTCAGGGAAAACAAAGCGGTAGCAAAAACAATTGCTGGAACACAGATACACAGATCAAACCACCATTCACTAACTTCTTGTTTTATTTTATTCACAAGAAGATCACAGTCACTTTAAATGTTTTTTTAAATACATTTAAATTGACTTGATATTTTTTAAATCAGGATGGAGAGTCATACGAGCAGAAGGGCACATTGCACACCTAGATCGTATTATAATGAACCGCGGGACACTCATCTCCATAGAACTCAAAATAACTGTGGTGCTCTTGAAATCAGCAGAGGATCCTTCCATGAGCAGAAAGTTGTGAAATTAACGGTGATGTAACAAATATCAGAAACCACAAGACTGCAACATCTGTATAGAATCTTGCGCTTCAGATGCATCTGTAAGATAAAACCGGTAGTACAACGTTTCACTTACAGTATAGACAGTAGACGACCACTGGCGAGGACACAGTCTTTGACTTTTTAGTTTCGAAAACATCTGCACTCCGATGAGCTGACTAATACTGTGCAATTCAATTATAGAAGCTGGCTAGCAAATGCACTGTATTAATAAATACAATTAACGTAATGCACAGATGGACCACACAAAGGATAAGGCAACAGATTAATTTATTCTATTTTTTAAAAATATTTACGTCTACGTTTTATGGCATACTTTACATAATTTATTGAAAATAGTGCCAATATTGTACTAACTATATTTTGTATTAACATACGCCCTGTTCTTTGTCTTGATTGTCACGGGTAGTTATTGTTTTAAATGGCTTGGGCACAGACCAATCCTATATTTCCTAGGGCACTTATTGAAATCCTGCTGTTGTAAAAGGTGCTCTGACCACTGTCTTCAGTTCTGTACTTTGTAATCGTGCTGTCACTTTGTACTTTTCCTTATAATAACATTAAAACTGTGAAATATTGTTTTTCATCCCCTTTATTTTTTTGTATTTCCTGTTTTTTAGGGCATAATTGTCACAGCCATCTCCCCTCACCGCTTTGAAATAGATATTTTATGTAAGAAAAATAGGATGACGAAAACATTTCTAAAGAATACGAAAGGATAGTAAAGTGAAGTTTTTTTGAGTCCGAGAAGAACTGGAAGGGCAGTTATTTGTTCGAACTGAATTCGTACATTTTGAGTGATTTTTTTTTGTTCTCCGGAAGGTGTCGCTGCTCCTTTTGATAATGTCGGTCGCACATAACGCCTTAATCCTCCAATTTTTTACACTCACATGAAGACATACAGCATCTTGAATTTGTGATCCCCTATTTCCATTGTGCGCCACGAAGTTCAGAAAGTTCATTTTGCATACCTTTAACGCTAAATTTGTTTTTGAAAAGAAATATGGAGAATTAATGATTTAAATCTGTGGATGTGGCCAGAACAATGTGCGCTGTGTATGCGACATTGGAGTGTCACCATTCAAAACCCACTTTTCTGTAATCAAAGTATTGATTTTACATTGTCTGATGAATACTCCTAGATCCCGATGTTCATTGACTCTGAATAAAACGTCATTGTTCAGTAACAGATAATACAGACCCTTAGACCAAGACCGGTGTGGCTTCTTTCTATCGGGGAGTGGACTATGAAAACTTGAATTTACCAAGAAAGTTGACGCTTTACTAACACGATACATATCACAGTTCTACATCAGAAAAGAATGACTAAAAACTGCGTAAAGTCCTTCATCTCAAGGTAGTCTCACTCAACAGACTCAACGACGCTGAATATGAAAAGCTAACCGTCTTTATTTTCATTGGCTGACAATGGTCTCTTCCTTCGCCCCGCCTGTTTATTTGTGAACCATTTCCTTCTGAATGGCTGTCAGGGCGTCTCTTTAGGGGACTTTTAATCATTTCGGACTAATTTGCTAGCGTGCAGGTAAAGTTTAGAAATTAACTGGCTGCAGCACTCCGGGCTCGGGCAGAATGCGTCCCGAAGAGAAGGTAAGCATGGATCGGAAAACGTGAAAAAGAAGGGGTTTTCAAGCGTGCAGTGGAGAACAAGAAAATAACAGTTATGATTTGTTGTTGTTACTGTTGCAAAAACAAACAAAAAAAAGGAACGAGCAGTTACATATGTATAAACGGCCTGATGTCCGTGATCTGTCATTTGCTGCAGCGTCGCTTTTTTTACTTACGTACTGTAGCTAATGTGCCATCTGAGATTCTTGCATCTTGGCTGATATCCAACACATCCTAATAATAAAGGATAATATTAATGAGCAGGGCCGTCGCCTGGGTTTTCCTGTTACAATAACCTTCTCGGTAGTCTTATCCTTTGTTTAGCTAACGGTTTTGCTCTACTAATTTGTCCGATTTTATTAGATATCAGTCTGTCCCCCCCTGCTGCAGTCAGGACCTTAGTAGTGGAGCACGAAGTAAAATTAATTTTCGCTTTGTCTTTTGTTTTTTTTTATTTGTAATGGAAGAACCATCTTATATTTTTGACCACCTGATGAAAAACCCTCGGTGCATGCTTATTTTTCAATCTGAATATGTTGCACAGATCACTGCGGTGTTAGGAAGGCGTGTTGAAAAATAGAGACAATAATATAAAAAGGGTTTTCGTGCATTTCTTCCCTCTACAAATTTATGAGCAAATACAGCTTAAATATACACTAAATATACATTAAATTTCACAAGCTGTGCCAGAAACTGTCATTGTGAATTTCGCGGGGAACAACGTATTTTTACTTAAATCTTGGACTTTTTTTAATGCACCGTATTTGTTTCTAAGGGTGACATATAGAAACAAAACACACGCTCGGACAATTCAGAGACTTCAGTTCATCTAACCAGCTAGTCCCTGTAAACAGTAAAGAACAGTTTCCGTATCTTAAAAAAAGATTTAGTTTGGTAACTGAACTGACACACAGCTAAGAAGTTGACGGAAATTGTGGTGTTAGTAAGTGCCTTTGTTCTGATCATTTGTTAGAAACTGCAGTCTACCTGTTGCCATGGCGTCTGATATAGTTCACAGATTATGATTTTCAGTTTGGTCACTGCTGGATCTCCCTTTGCGGTAGATTGTCTCTGATCCAGAGGTACATAACACTATCTAAACCGTTGAAGCCTCTTTCATCTTTAAAAGGTCTATTTTTATCTGATGGGACCAGAAAAAACCAACAGGAACCATCAGCCTGAATAATTTTAGCTTGCTTGAATTCAAACATCCTCCTCTAGAACTGTGATTTTAATACAAATCCAGTAAATATTGCCCAGATTTTCTCTGCTCAGACTATTTTTAAATGTTATTTATGGTACTCTATTCTTAAGGGGTCTGTTTTGAAAATATTCATACATAATAAACACATCTTTCCTTGCTGTTTAAGTGTGTTTTAATGTTTTATTTTGGAAGTTTACAAACAGACCTTTTTTGTTCACCAACAGCTTGATACTGTGGAGAAAGCAGCAGTGATCTCCATCTCTATTCCCAGAGAGCCCCAGGGCAACCATTAAATTAGAAACTTCAAAAAAAAACTTTGTGGTCAATTGCAGGTAATCTGTTCAGTGAAGTAATTTAGAAATATTTTGGAACAAAACCCTGAATACCTTTCAGCCCTCAAAGATCAGTGTTTCTTCAATTGAACAAATTACTTGCTAAATTGATAAGTAACTTACAAATGTTATCAATGTTAAGAAACAGGTGATTTTAATAGACATTAGATGTAGATTTATATGTGTGTGTACACATGGAATGTAAGAAAGAATTTGCATTGAAGC